CAGGCAGGCAGGCAGGCAGGCAGGCAGGCAGTAGAGCACAGGTGTGCATGTGCCATGGGTGGGCGAAGGGAGTGACTTGAAACCTTCCCTGCTGGCTTCACCATTGACTTTGCTTGTGAGAAGTGTCAGGGAAGGTCACATATGGCAATCACTTGACTGCGGGATGCTGCAACTGTCATAAGTGCTAGCCAGTTGCCAAGCATCCGAATCGTGATCACATGACTACAGGGGTGCTGTGACAGCTGGAACTTTGAGGACCGGTCTTAAGTACCACTCATTCAGCATCGTAACTTTGAACAGTTACTGAATGAGTGGTCATAACCTGAGGATTACCTGTAGGGGCATATCAGATGATAAAAAGATGATCTACTATACATAACTGACCTTCACTTAATGCATTAATAGCTTCCATCTTCTTTTCACTGGCCTGGTCCATCATCTCTTCTGTAACCTAAATAAAGAAAGGCAAAGAAACTAGAATGCAGATCAAAGCTATCATACTTTCATAATACAGTATCTGGATTTATAATCAGATGTAACATTCACATGTTACATTTAACCAAGAGCTGATTAGTGTACAAGTATCTGCTTTTGGCTTGCAAATCACTTGCAATTAATTTATTTACAGTTAAACATGTCATCTGAACATAGAATAAAATATATTGCTGCCCAAAGCTGACCGGACAACATAGCTAAAAGCAAAGTAAGTCATGGTTATAGTTTTTGGTTAATTCCAGTTAGACATATTTTTCACCCTTCAATACCAAACTTAGCTATATACATGGTTAACTGACACAGTCACAAACAAACCATGAAGAGGTTCAATGCTAGCTAAACCAATAACAAGAAGGAACTAACAGCCACACATAGCATGTTTACACTAACAGTTTTTTTGGTTAAGTGTGACATGTGGACTCAGAATTCCAAACACTATTATTTATTTGTTTATTTTATTAATTAAATTTATATGCTGCCCATCTCCCCCAGAAGGTGACTCTGGGCAGCTCACAATTAAAATCAAACCTCAAAAACAGTTAAAAATATTAATATCCACATTAATTTAGTTAAAAAATCAAACTACATATAAAGACTATATACATAAAAAGACTAAAACATTCAAGAAGACGGGGGTAGAATCAATTACCCCACGAGCCAATTCCAATGGTGTGAGCCCCCATCAGGCCCCCAGGCCATCTGGCATAGCCAAGATTTCACACTCTTCCTGAAGGCCATGAGAGTGGGGGTGCACCGCACCTCAAGTGGTAAGTTGTTCCACAGAGCGGGGGGCATGGCAGAAAAGGCCCTCCTCCTAGACCCCACCAGTCGAAATTCCTTGACTGGTGGGGTCCGCAACATGCCCCTTCTGCTGGACTGAGTGCGGTGGGCTGATATAATGGGGGCAAGATGGCTCCTCAGATAACCTGCTCCTGTGCCATGAAGGGCTTTAAAGGTAATAACCAACCCCTTGAATTGGACCCGGAAGCAAACCAGCAACCAATGCAGCTCGCGTAACAATTACCTCAACACTTTCATCTCCCATTGCCTGAGGTTCATCACTGTCTGGTTCAATCACTCCTTCATTATCAATTTCTGCCAATAAACAAAAAAATCACAAATATATATTTCTAATGAGAAGAATTCAATTTATTTCATGTAAGAGACAAGAGAAAAAACTAATTACAGGTAGTCCCCGGGTTAAGAACGTCCAGTTTACGGACAACCCGTAGTTAAGAACGGAGCCTACTGTAGCAAAATTCAAATTAAATACACAGTGATTCGAGTTAAATACACAATGGTCCAAGTTAATTCCACAATACTACTTATACAGTATTATACAATAATACTGTTCTGGCTTACATACAAATTCAACTTA